TGAAGATTCGAACCCCTGAAATGGTTAGTCAATGCATATGATGCTGGATGATGTCATGATGCTATGATTAAACACACCACAGATATTTACAAAGACAAGCATGTAAGGCACACCAGACAAGCCCTTAGGGTTTAAGGCCAGCATGGGGTTTGGGTAGTACCCTCTTGAAGTTGGTGGGTTCAACCTGTCCTATCATGAGTAACCGGGTTCTAAGGGTCCCAATATCACGGGATTGCTTTCATTGTTCATCGTTTCGATTTAGCCACTGAACTGGCGACCGAAAAATTCCAGGAAAGCAACCCTCAATTGAGTGTAGTATCGAGTATCAACCAACCTCGGACTGCACCAAAGTCAGTTATCTCACTACCCTAAAGAGGCCAAGATAGTTCAATTAAGGTTCCTAAGGTCTGTTGATGCTTCATGACACCACGCGGAGGCCCCGTACTCTCCTTGACTGAACTCAAGGGTTACCGGTACACACCAAAGTGCCACATCAACGTTGTAGACTGTTTCAACCATGTCGGTATACCCCGCACAGTTCCCTCACAGCCTTATTGCTACTTTCTAAGAAGGTATCCCCCAGATCCGGGTTAGGATCTATAGAACTCCCAAGACAGTCCCACAATTTAAAGCAAACAAGGAAAGCAATTGAAAACACAGTTATGAACTAACCCTAAGGTACACCTCACTTTATAAGAGTCCCCAGCAGAGTCGCCAGTTCTGTGATCGGTGGATCTGGAACTGACTGTTTAACGCTGGATCGCGAAATGTCGCGGAAGCAAGAGTCGCCACCGTCTTTTATTTTCTCCAAATGGAAAGGACAAAAGCACAGAAAAATTCCTTAAAGAGATTGCTCTCGGTTCGGGAGGTAGGTTATAGAAAGGGAAGGTGTTAGCACCCTTTCTATCCATGGTTATCCATGGGCTCTTAGATACTTGCTCATTTGTGTTTTCAAAAGTGTTTGCTTTTCAACTGTGGGTTTAAAAAAAGTTTCTTTGAAAATTTCAGTTCGACTCTTGTATCAGTCCTCAAGAGTGTTTGAAAAATTGCTTTCAAAAGCTTTTTGAAAATGTGTTGGTGTGAAAAGTATTTTTGGATTTGTTTTGAAATTTGAGCAAGTATCTACGAGAATCTACCTACTCTAAGGAATTCGTCTGTGTAGATGTCCTTTAAAGTAGTGCCATCCCACCATTGAGAGGTAGGTAGCACCACCGTTGGAGGTGTTCGGGTCAATTCGATGTTCGGGACATGGTGATCACCAGAGCAATGGGAAGACACCTTAGAAGCTACCCTCATGCCAGGTTCCCGGATCATGAGGACTTACTAAGACATCCTCTACTCGACGATCACCTTTCGAGGCAAGGCAACAGTGAGGCGTACCCTAGGGGTGGTGTGTGAATTGTGTGTCGTTTTCAAGTATTTTTGTCTTTTGTCATGTTATTGGTGTTCTACGCTTGTTTTTATTTTTGTCCATACATTCTTTCATGCCTTTGTTAACAGTTAAAAAATTGCGGAAAATAAAAGATTCTAAGCTATTACAAAAGGCGCGGGTCCACATCGCCAAAATTAAACCAGGACCCGATTTGACAGAAAAATAAAGAAATAAAATAAAGTGCAATAAATAATTTACAAGGCCTTGGGAGAGATACATAAATATTAAACGAAAAAGAAATAAACACGCGAATTAAATAAGAATTAAACGAGGGTGTTGGACCCTTTTTAACTAAATTAAATTAAATGATGGAATTAATTAATTAAAAGAAAAAAGAAATTGTTTTTTAGTATTTTTTTGGTTTTAATGATTTTAATGAAAAAAGAATTAACTAAAATTAAACCTAATTCTGCAATTTTATTTGTTAAGAAAAAATTAAACTTTGACCTAAAATTAACCCTAATTAATTTACATGCAATTTAATTATAAAAATAAGTATTTAATATTTAATTATTGTGAAAAGAAAAGAAAAAGATTAAAAATTGATACAAACCCTAATTCTATAAATTTTAGGTTTTTAAAAAAGAGTTAAAATTAAAACCTAATTTAAAACTAGTTAATTTATGAATTTATTTACAAGAAATATTAAAATAAAAAAATATTTATTATTTTTTCTCTTTTCTGATTTTTTATGGTTTTGTGTTTTTATGAAAAACAATTAAATTACAAGAATTAATAAAAGGATAATAATTGAAAATAAAAAAGAATGAAAATTAGAAAAATATTGCAAACCTCAGGGGGGTCTGCCCCCAAATTGGGAGGTTTTTTGTAGTGATTCAGGCCCAATTACTCTTGGCCTGGTAGACTTTTTTGTTAGCATGTATGCGCGTTGACTATAGTACACCGTGCCCTCCTGATCATGACCCTTGATTGAATCCATTGGCCACGTGAACAACTTGATTTTGAATGTGTATGGTGGACTTTAATGTTGAAACTGCATAGAAGTATTTATTGAAGAAAAATATGAAAGGGGTGAGGACCTGGGGCTCGAACCCAGGTCCTATGGTTTACCAATCAACGCGCTTGCCAGTGGAGCTATTGTGTTCATCTGTAAATTAAATAACAAATGAATATAATAAAACAAAACAATGCGTTAGTGGATTTTTGGCGCGAACTTTCAAACCAGCCAACCATCGCCTGCCACGAGATCATCTTCTCCATTGTTTTATTTTTTTTCTGAAACACAAACATAATAAGCAACGGTTTTGAACCGTTCTGTAACCTAGCATTAGAGAAAATAGCGAATAGGCCATAAGGCCTCATAAATTAGGCGCGAGGGCTTATTTCTGTTCGTCCAGACATGCTCGATTCAATGGTGTAAGTCTTGAAGGCCAATTTTCCCTTAATTGAAAAACCCTAATCCAAGGTCCTGGAAACCCTAATGTTCAACAATGGTTAAATCGCATATGGGTGACAAAAAGACAATTAAACCATACGGTTAGCATCAGAATCTTACAATGAACATAAACCAAGCATTAAAAGTTACAAAAGATGCATGAATTAAGATGCACGAATGAGAATTTTTTTTGATACAGGTGAGATCGTTCTCACGTTTCTGGGCGCGAGAGCTTGTGGTTTTTGATCCAAATTCCTTCTATGAAGCCTTAGCAAGCTAATGAGATCAAAGTCTTGCCTTGAATCGCCCTAGAACTAGGTTTTCAGAATTGAGTTTTTGGCAAAAAAAATTCAAGTTCAATGCTTGATCTGTAGCGCAGCTTAGGGGTTTTTTGCATTAGGTCTTGCTTTCTTGTATATGTAGGAATGATTAGGTCAAATAAAATTGGTCCAAGATCCATGAATTGATGAATGCAATATTTGATTTTTCCACCATGATTTTCAAATCTTTTTCACATGCTTTTTGGTACAAATCACATCCAATTCCATTGGTTCTTTCCATATTTGGCTAGGCACGAAATCTTGAGAATATAATATGCATAAAAAGATTGAAAAACTTAGGTTAAGTATTTTTCATGTATTTAATTAATTTAAATGAATTATTAATAATAAAAATCCAAATAAATAAATAAAAAATGAATAAAAACTTCCCTTTGGGCCTAATAGTCGTGCACATGCCTTGGATGATGAATTGTGAAAGAAAAATAGGCCCATTAGCAATTTTAGGTCATTTGAATCAATGTTGACTTTTCAAAATATCCAAATATTTCCCAACTTCCACAAGGCATAACTTGCTCAATTTTTAAGATTTGCTCATGTTCTGGGACATTTTGGAAAGGTCTTTGAGTCCTCTAACCAATGTCTTTGGTCCCATGTCATTTTGATTTACCAATCTCAAGTTATGGCCTTTGACTTAAAGTCCCTTTTTGTTGACTTTTGAAAATGACCTATAATGTTGAAATTGATAACTTTTTGTGAGAGCATTTCTTGGACTTGAAGTATGAAGATTAGTTGTAGGAAATGTCTTTCTCTTCAAAATGAGCTTTGGATGGAATTTTTCTGACAATCCATGTGAAAGTTATGCCCTGGTCAATTTACAGTTGACTTTTTCAACTGTCCAAATAAGGAAACTTTTGCATCTTGATGATTTTTGAGCCAAGCTTTGAGAATCATGATCAAGCATTGATCAAATGATGTTTGTGGCTTCAAAATGATGTGTTGACCAAAAATTTGAACTTTTGACTGTCAAATGACCATTTTGCCCCTACAGTTGACTGTAGTGCAATTAGGGTTTTTGACTGTGCAACTTTGTGCTGTAAGTCTTGAAACTTGGTATGAGGATGCTTGACCATATTTGTAGGCACATGGGACTTGATTGGACCCTTGGAAACTTCATTTTCTTGATCAGAATCAAAACCCTAATCTTGACTGCTTAGGAGACCCTTGCACTGTGCAACCTTTGGGGAGATTTGAAGCTTGACTTGGCAATTTCTGAAAAATATGGGAGGGCAAATTTTGGGGTACAACACAGATGAACATTCCATGAAACATAAAGCCTATTTTTATCAAGTTTATGAGAATTTTTATGAACATAACGAAAAGTATATACTCGAACATTTACTTAAGGATCAGAACCTGATTATTAATCATTCATCATGCCGAAGAAATTGAATCAATGATAAGGAATCGACAAGAACGCGTTAAAATCCTAATTTCAAACATATACCAAACATCAGTTCAATTAAATCTGTAACTAATAGAAAAATCATGAAACAAATATCAACAAGTCAGGGACTAACATATTAATGTTCATACAAAAATTTAACAAAAAATCACGAAAGAAAACACCAAAATTAATTGTAATAAATTAAGAAACAAAATGAAATTTAGAAGATGAACAAGGTGGTACCATGGATCAACTGGGGTGTGAGAAGCGAGCCCAACGCTCAGAAGGCCCAGGTCCAATTCACTTCAACATTTTCAGATATTTATAATAAAGAATGAACTAAATGGAATTGAAAAAAGAAGAATTGAATTAAAAAGCCAAGGACCGAAACGTTGCATTTTGTTTATTTGTGACTGTTCGTATCACTTCAACCTAGTTCTCTTTCCCTCAGGTCATATCCTTGAAAATGAACGAACGTACCATCGCACTGGCACGCCCATGGCGGCGGCTGAGATGGCTCCCCAACCAGATATATAGAAAACTTTCATCGCGCCTTCGTCTCAACGCCTGTAACACGGATCCACCATCCATTTTCTTTGATTTTTCCATGGTTAGGCCTAAACCTACATCCAAACACCTTAACCTAAAGATCTAGAAAACCAAAATTGGATGATGTTAAAGCACAAATCCTTCATATACCCTTTCTAATTCTACACAAATCAGTAGAATTGAATCATTCTTCAGAAGAAACCCTAGGGGTGGAGTCACAGAGGCGACACCAAGTTGATGGAAGCGGACACGGAGGATCCTCTAGCAAGCTTCAAACCGTGATTAAGTGTATAAAATGAAAAGAAAAGAGATGAAAGCTTAAGGTTGACGACCTTACCTACACCGAGAAACATTGAAGAAGATAGAGATTCTCAAGTATGTAGTCTTTTCTTTATCTCAAGCTTTCAACATTCATTTATCTTTTTCTGTTTCCTCTTCTTCTTCTTGTTCTGGAGCATTTTCTCTGTTACTGTTGTTGTGTATGTTGAGTGTGGAAGAGGAGAGTGAGGAGATTGAACAGGAGTAGCCAAGAATTTGAAGGTGAAGGTTGGTGTATGAGGTTGATGAAGCGATGGAGCAGAGAGAGAGAGAGGTTGTTGATGGTGAGAGAGAGAGACTCTGAGAAATAAAATCAGAGAATCGAGAGGTAAATTTTTGAAGTTCCTGTGATTGGTGGTGGTTTGTGGAATTGAGATGGTGAAGATGAAGATGAAGAGAGTCTGGAGAGAGGATGTAGAGGATTAAGGTTGATGGATGAAGATTAAGAATGAAATTGAAAAATGTTGATTGGGGATGGTTAATTTCTAGTTCTGTTATGCTTCTGTTTAGAAACCGTTAGGGAATTCTGTTTTGGTGGTTATGTAATTGGTTAGGGGTAGTTGTTAGTTGGAAAAAGTTCTGTTAAAAGTTAGAGAAGTTATGTTGGAAGTGGTTATGGAATTAGCTGGAGTTAGAGGAGTATGATAATTCAGTTGCAAGTTGGTTAGAAATTATGTTAAAAATCTGGTTTTTACAGTTAAGAGAGGTTATGAAACAATTACGGGACAGTTAGGGATTCTGTTGGGAAATAGGAATTCTGTTAATATTAGTTTAGTGAAGTTAGAAGTTAGCCACAGATTGTTAGCTGGAAACTGTTTTTGGTATTGAACTAGCATGTTGCAGCTTATGTTTGGATGAAAAATTTCACTTTTCCTGTTGTATAATGAACTGGAAGGATAATTTTTTTTGCTTTGTTTTGTCTTTATAATTTTTAGCAGCAGAGCTAACAACTGATTAGATGCTAGGATATTTGTAGAACTTGGGAGTGAACCAACATCAGCTAAGACATGACTCTTAACATCGTCCAAAGGCTTTTCATCATGGCTGGAGTCGCCGGAGCATTGCCGACTACGTCTAACAAGGGATGACGCTTCAGGTAAAGAGATAGTATCCCTTTCTACATTATGTTTATATTGCAGTATTGGTTTAGGATTAGACGTTGAACCGATGACAAACTGAATGTATACACGATGCTTACTTATTCTCCTATATAAGAACTTTGGGATTACACGTAAAACTAGGATTTTGTTCGATTTTGATTTTGGGTACGGTCTGAAATGATTTGATGAAGGTCCATTTTGGGTTGTTTCATGGCAGCATTGTTCTAAGGTCTGAAACGACCTTTTTTTCTCTTAATCTCATTTTTATGTTAAGTGTTAGACTGTTCGGTCATGAATTAGACTTGAGTATGGTTTGCATCTATTTTGGTTTTAGGTTTTAATGTAGTTTATTGGTTTCCTATGTGCAGATATGGTTGTAGAATCTAAATGACACAGAATTAACAAGTTTACAGTGACTTTAGTTTGAAGAAAAATGAAGGGTGCAAGATGAGATGTATTGAAGATGACTCAAAGATGTACCATGGTTGAAGTGTGTCAAAGAGTGTAAGATGTTCAAGGCATAAAATGGAGCGGCATTAGGCTTGGAAACACGAGACATGGATGAAGTTGAAGATCGGAATAAATATTTGACCAACCTTGTAATTTATTTTTGTGTGGTTTTTCTTTGTGATGTAATTGGAAGGATGTACTGAATTATTTTGTAATTATACCACTTAAATGGAGGAATGCGTCGGACTTGAATAAACTTTGAATCGCTTTTCTTCCACTGTTTCCTTTGAATATATGAATGTGAATACCCATATTATGCATCAAGTAACCATTCAGAAGCATGGTAAGGATTGATTACAAAACAAAAAGATCCGCCTGATTTGGTAATTAAGTTATCTTTTAAGCTTACATCTTCAAATTCCCTTCTTTTTTTCAAATGTATCACAATATAGCCATGGAGGTTGTTTGGAGTTTGTCGAGATACTGAATAAGGTTTGTTTAATATATTTTGGAGGAATTTATGGATGTGGTTTGATGTGACTTGGAAAAAACTGATTTGAAAAACTTTTAACTTTATTTTATTCCCTTAGACATTCTGAAATCACAATATCACATAATCGCTTGAATGAAACGCTCCACCAAAATCTTCAATCCCTTGATCACAATGAAGCCCCAAATGCATCTCTTATGCCATGCTTTCACCTTACAATTTAATTCCCCTGATATATTGTTCTTAAAACAAAAGCAATGCCTTTGAGAAAACTTTGAACACAAATATGAAACTATGGCCGGAAGTATGCCCAAGAAAACCTTTGTAATGAAGGCTTATCTCTCTTGATCTTCAATTATCAAACATAAACACCATGGATAAGAAAACCATAATCCATTTGTTTTGAACACACCTTGAGATGACCTTGTAGCTTGAGTAAAGATGATAAAAAAAAGTTCCCAAAGAACATGAATACAAAACCCTAGCTTTACAAACCATGACTGATGAAAAACTAGTTAAAACACACTTGAGTTAAGATGAGATCCCAAAAGCGCAGATAAACCCTAATTCCTATATATCCTTGGTCCCATGCTAAACCTTGTGGTTAGTGAATGCGTGGTGTGTTAATTGACCTAATGGAGGGTATGTGTTGTACACCAAAATTTTCCCTCCCATATTTCTCAATACATGTCAAGTGAGGTCCTCAAATTACTCAAGGAAGTCCAAGAGTTGACCAGACAAACTCTCTCCTAAGGCAGTCTACCTCAAATTAGGGTTTCATTTCGCATCAAGATGCTTAAGTCCAAAGGATCCTAAATGCTCACCATTTCCCTAATATGTTCTCAAGATCATGTATGTCAAGTTTCAAGCCTTTCAGAGGAAGTTTGCTCAGTCAATTGCTCAAATACCTAGAAATCGACTGTGCTAGGTCAAAAGTCAATTGTGGCCCACATACAGTCAAACCTCAAGATTTTTGGTCAACATAATCATTTTGAAGTATCATTCATCATTTGATCAAGGTTTGATCATGATTCATCAAGGATTTCTCACAATTCATCCAGACCCAAAAGTTGCTAAATTAGGGTTTTGTAGGAAAAAGTCAACTCAACTTTGACCAAGCATAACTTTCTCATACTTCATCAGAAATGACCCATCCAAGGCTCATTTTGAAGAGGATGCAATTCCCAACAATTCACCTTCAGCTCCCAAGTTCATAATATGCACTCACAAAAATATATGAATTTTGACATTATAGGTCATTTTGAAAAGTCAACAAAAACACATTTTGGGTCAAAGCTTCATACATGAACATTGAAGACTCAATTGAGATGAGAACAAAAGGGTTTCTTAAAGGACATCTTAAGATTTCTAAAAATGTCCAATAACACCTATCTATGGTCTAAATTGAGAGAGTTATGCATTGTCCAAGTTGACCATTTTTGCAAAATTGCCAAAAGTCAAATATGTCCAAAATTGCATTTTTTGCTAAATGGGCCTAACTTTTTATACTTGCACTGAGCTTGTGATGTGATCCACGACCCATGAGCCCTTCCACTTGTCATTATCTTATTTTTATTATCTATTGTGATTTTATTTCATTTAAATCAAATAAAATCAATATAAAATAATGAAAATATCAAAAATCAATTAAACCTTGAGATTTTGTGCATGATTAGAGTTATTATACAGCTGGTGGCAAGATCAAATAGTGCAAGGCTTCATATGGACAGAAAAAGATTGAAAATGCTTGTTTTGGAAAGATTTGGTGCAAGGAATAAATCAATGATCAATCTTCATAAATGGCAAAGATTTGATGCAAATTTTTACCCTAATGCATTCTCTAATATATATGGAGCACATCCAAGGAAAAAGGGGAAAAAACAGCGGTGCAGAGGTGAAAGAAAAAACTCAAAAATTGCAAGAAAAGTGGTGATCCAAGTTCTGTGTTAGAGGTCGATTCGTGCCATTCTCAGATTGCCAATAGGTTGCTGGACATTCCAAGAGCAATTTCCAATCAGATTCAAGCCTTTCCACGCTTGGAATTGCAAGATAGAGGTATCACGATATGCCTCCAAATTCGAATTCAGTTTCATTGATTCACTCACCCATTGCATATTTTAATGATATATTTGTGTTTGTCTTTGAGTTTGCAAGCTTTTGATACCATTTAATTGTATTTCTAACGCTTGCACATGAAGATGCCATTGTTAGGGTTTGCTCTTATGTTTTAGGGTTTCTCTGTATCAATAAAATTGGTCCAAGAAAATAGTACATAGTATTCGTGGGTTCGAGACGAACAGAACCATGTAATTAGAATTCATTTTAGCAGGCGTTTTCTTGATGATTGAAAGTTACAGGTTTGTAGCTATAGTAAGTGTCTGTAGGTAAAAGTTCAGAACTTTAAACGACGGTTCCAGGGAAGAAGACAATAGCGTGTCACAGCCTGACTGGCTGATTCAAATTCTGGTGCGTTATTCTGGCCAGAAACTTGTAGATCTGATATATGTTGTTTGTTTCTATTATATTAACAAACTAACATCCAGCGCAGTTGGTCAGAAGAAGGAAGTCAGAAGTTCATTGTTCTGGGTTCGATCCCAGGCGTGAGCTTTTGGTATATTCTCCTTGGTTTTCACCAGAGCCAGCACGTGCATCTTCTGAGGATCATCACCTTCTGGATCCACTAGCCAGCATCAGATCCAGTGCACCGTCTTTCTGATCCATGAGACAGGATCAGATCCAGCGCATCATCATCTGGATCCCAGTCAGAACGAGATCCAGCATGTATAGGCCATCATCTTCTGGATCCCATTCAGAACTAGACCCAGTGCGTCCCATCTTCTGAGGGTCAGCATCTGTTGGATCCACCTGCCAGGATCAGATCCAGTACCCCCATCTTTTGAGGGCCACCATCTTCTGGACCCCATCAGCTAGAACCAGACCGCTGACAGCAGACTCACTTGGTTATTTCCATTATTTTTCTTTAATTTTTGTTTCTTTAATTATTTTGTGTATGTTTCATCAACACCAAAATTATTTTTTCTAAAATTGACCAATCAATAAAATCACAAAAAGACTTATTTTCTTAATAAATGTTGTTAATTAATTAGTTTAATTAATTTAAGGCAATTCTAATTTCTTCCACAATTAAAATTAATTAGAATTTAGGATTTTCTTTTTTTAATTCAATTACTTCATTACTTTCTTAAAATAACAAAAATGACAAAAAAAAACATGTTTACTTTAATCAATTACAATTAGGTTTAGTCAAGCGTCAAAACCCTAGTCGCTTCACATTAAATTCGCCGCGCGCTGGCTATTTATTTTTGCCAATATTGTTGTAACTGCTAACTGGTATGTAATAGTTTAAATTAGGATTTTCATTTATCGCTTTTCCCCGGATTTTGGTTATGTAATTAATCCCCCTCCTCGAAGCCTTGTAATAGCGTAGATTTACTTTCTCGCATCTTAATTCTCGCAAATATTTGACTGTTTAGATGTATGTTAATAAGATTGTATGATAAGAATGCATGACAAATTAATACAGTAGAAAACCCTAATGTGCAAAGACTAAATAATTGAAAACAGATCACTCGCACATATCACTCTTAGCGTATACTCACACTTCGGTTGCCTTCGGTAAACAGTCATTTAGTATAGGATGTCTTAGTGGTTTCCCTCCTGTCTAAAAAGATCAAACGTTGCCTCGGAATTGTTGCTTCGGAAATGTTGCCTCGAATATGATCCTAAGACTCTAGGGTTATTACTAGGGTGTCCTAAACATTTCTTTAGTGATCGTACGTCCCTTTTGGATTGGCCCTTACAACTCCAACGACGGTGCTACCTATTTCTCAATAGTAGGATATCGTTGTCTAAAGGAACGAGAATAGAAACGGTCTTTTCTCGAGTAGGTAGATGCTAGTAGGTACTTGCTCAAAACAAACTCTTTTTCACACTTACACATTTCAAAACAATTTTCAAAATAACTTCGTCACACCTTTGAGGACTGATACAAGGGTTATCACGAAGTCGAACTTTTTCAAAACAAAGCACATACACAAGCAATTTTAAAAGATGAGAAAGTACCTAAGAGCCCATGGAAAACCATGGATAGAAAGGGTGCTAACACCTTCCCTTTCTATAATCTACCCCCCGTACTCAGAATATCTCAAAAAAGGATTTTTTTCTGTACTTTTTTTCTTTCCGGTTGGATGAAATAAAAGTCGGTGGCGACTCTTGCTTACCGCGACATTTTGCGAACACAAAACGCAAAATGCAAACCAATATTTCAAAACAGTCGGTTCTGCCACCATATCACAGAACTGGCGACTCTGTTGGGGATTTAATAAGTGGGGTATACCTTAGGATCTATTTCATCATAATTGTTTCTCTTGTTTGTTTTGTTTGCTTTACTTTTAAGGGTTTCTGCTTGGGGTTACTATAGATCCTAACCCGGATCTGGGGGATACCTTTTAGGTAAGTAGCAATAGACTGTGAGGGAACTGTACAGTGTAGATCGATACGGTTGAAGCAGTGGCTATGTTGG